GCATTCGGGCCCTTCCTTCTGGGGCGGCGTGCCGTGTCGGTGCAGCGTATAACGCTGTGCGCCTGTTCTGCCTCCTCTTTGCCCATCCGCAGCCTTGTTTGGCGGCGGTCTCGGTTAGCGCAGACTGGCGCGCTGCTCCCGTGAAGAGCAGAGCTGGGTGTTCACCGGGCAGCAGGTGCTGTCCGGTTCTCCTGCACCGTGGTCCGAGTACTTTCGGGCAGTGCTTACAGCGAGGAAGTTTATTTCTGAGCAGTAAGTGCTTCAGGATATGGTTGTCCCCGAGTTGTGGAGCTGCGGGGCCCCAGGGCAATCCAGAAAGAGCGTGGCACCCTTAGCGAGGTGCATGCAGAGCACTGTCGACCTGGGGTCTGTGTTTGAGAGTTCCCAAACTGTTAGATGTCTGGTAGTGATGACAGCTGGGGGTGTAAAAGACCTTAAGTGCAGAACCAGCCTCACGCTGACAAGGTTAACTGTGAAGCTGATCTGCGAGGGAGAAATGTGAGGAGGAAGTCTCGGTAGTCTGAGAGAATGAGAAAACGTAAGCTGGCAATTGCCTTACTGCTGTTTTATTGTTGGTGTGATAACATCTCCGAAGTGCCCGGGAGAGTCATCCGTGGGCTGCAATTAATATAGCTGCCAATATTTTATTAACCTGGCTCTACTGTAAATGTGGCATTGGGAGGGAATGTCTAATTTTCCAGTGTTCCTGTATGTAGTTGTAAGCTGGGGCCAGACTGACAAGAAAACTCAATAACCTAGAGCTTCTCCTAAAGCATCTGGGGTGTTGTTACACCTCTGTGTGTGTACGATTTCGCTGTTTCTGCTCACCTGGAGCACTGAGAGCTCTCGTTCAGGATAACACAGGAACAGAAAGCGGGCGGGAGCAAGAGAAAAGCAGAGGTGGATCTGCACTTAGAGGAGTTCGGTTCGTGGTGCTGGTCACAGAAAAAGACTTAAAAGTGTGCGTAAGGAAAGTCAGCCGGTTGCGTGGTAAACGCAAAGGTGAAACGTAGTCGGAAGCGATCCTTTCTTTGAGCGAGCCATGCCGAGGCTGCGTGGTGTGGGAGGCACGGCTAACAGCGCTCACCTTCTCTGCAGGTGCTGTTGGCAGCAGCCGTCTGCACAAAGGCGGGGAAGGCCATTGTCTCCCGGCAGTTCGTGGAGATGACCCGGACCCGCATCGAGGGGCTGCTGGCGGCTTTCCCAAAGCTGATGAACACGGGGAAGCAGCACACTTTTGTGGAAACGGAGAGCGTGCGGTATGTCTATCAGCCGATGGAGAAGCTCTACATGGTGCTGATCACTACCAAGAACAGCAACATCCTGGAAGACCTTGAAACACTCCGACTCTTCTCTAGAGTGGTAAGGATCTGTCACTTAATGCAGAGTTCACACGTGTGTCGCCTGAAACGGTGCTGTCGTAAGGGAACCTGTGGGTGAGTTGGTGCTGGAGCACTGCCTCTTTCTGCCTGACAACTTGACTTACCAGAGCCTCCTCCTGACCTGGAAGTAAGCTTTGAAGTTTTGGTGGTACTTTTGAACCACACATAAAAAATCCTCCGTTGCAGTTCAGCTGGTGAGCCCAAAGGGATGATGGTGTAAATTTAGCGTTAAATATTCTCTGCATTCTTAAGATAACACCCGTATTCCTTCTAAAAATAACATGACATTGTGATTGTTAGAAGTACAGCACTACTTTATGTGCATTTCTAAGCAGCAGGTTTGTGCAGCTGTCTTGGTGCAAGCGAAGAATCTTCAGGAAATTCGCTGGCATCAGTGTGCATTGAGGTTCCTCCAAGTTAGTGTTACAACAGGGGCTAAGTGGTTGTATAAGTATTTTGGTGTAGAAAAACTAACAATGGCAAAACTTCATCTTCATACGGATGCTCCTTTAGAATGTTTTCCCCTCCCTAACTAGATCCCTGAATATTGTCGAGCCCTGGAGGAAAATGAGATCTCCGAACACTGCTTCGACCTCATTTTTGCCTTCGATGAAATTGTTGCCCTGGGCTACCGTGAGAACGTAAACCTGGCACAAATCCGGACCTTCACTGAGATGGACTCACATGAAGAAAAGGTGTTCCGAGCTGTCCGAGAGGTGAGCGGGAAGAACTGGTACGGTGGGATGCCCTGTCTGGGAAACACTGCTTTTTTTATATGCGAAGGTGTTACTGCACTTGGACGGGGGTCATAAAATTGTCTAGCTTTTCCGTAAACTGAATGCCCGTCTCTCGTTCCCTTTTTCTTCACAAAGGGTTTGCGAGCAAATGGGCTTAGTTTCTGTGCAGAATGAGTTTATGATTGCAAAGCTCTATCCGCCTCTTATCTTTTGCTTCAGACTCAGGAGCGTGAAGCAAAAGCTGAGATGCGCCGTAAAGCGAAGGAACTGCAGCAGGCCAGGAGGGACGCGGAGAGACAGGGCAAAAAGGCACCTGGTTTCGGTGGCTTTGGTAGCTCGGCCGTATCCGGGGGCACAACGGCAGCGATGATCACAGAGACCATCATTGAAACGGAGAAGCCCAAAGTGGCACCGGCGCCTGCCAGGTGGGTGCATGGTGGGGAACAAGTGCTCCTTGGAGCCAGCCGTGGCTGAAGCCATGTGCGCAAATACGGGCTCTCTCACGGGGGTTCTTTGTCTGCGTAGCCCTCCCGTTCGGTTACTGCACAGGAAGAGATTGTCATGCCCTTGTAAAGCCTCCCCTCAGCTTCGCCCATCGGCGTGGGTGCCTTTACTGTGGATCCTTGTAGGCCAATATATGTTGCATATTCTTGAGACACTCCCACTTTTTTTATTGTCGAAGAATGTTTGCTGTGTACCACAGCAGCGTCCCATAGTCTCTTCGCAGTCTTGATTGGGCAATGGGCTTCTCGCTTAGCGTGAGAAAGAGAGGTCCTAGCTATTGGTAATGCTGGCACCGGAATCCACATCTACATTATGACTTGGCACCTGCATGTAAGATCATGAGTTGCACGTGCGTTCTCCCCCAAAAAAGGCTGCAGAGGCAAACGCTGTATTGTTGGGATAGTCAGGTTACAATGCCTGAAGATAACTGGGGAAGGAGGAGTCTGTTGCCGTGAGCTGAGTTGGAGGTTCTGACTCCTTTTGTTTAGGCCTTCAGGTCCCAGTAAAGCCTTGAAACTTGGCGCTAAGGGGAAGGAGGTGGACAACTTCGTGGACAAGCTGAAATCGGAAGGAGAAAATATCATGACTTCCGTAGGCAAGCGCTCTACGGAAGCAGCCAAAGTTCTTGCTCCTCCCGTTAACATGGAGAGGTAGGTATTGCCCTCGCTTTGAAAGTGGTCTCCTCGCAGCTCTCTCTGTGGTGCACGCGTTGCTTCGTGAGCCAGCTTCTTTTTCAGTTCTCGGAACAGGCTTTTTCCTGTCGTTCAGGTCCTGGGTGCCCACTCGACCTGTTAACTTTAGAAGAGGGGGGGGCAAAACCTCAGAAGGCATAGCAGGAAAAAGCAGACGGCTAATTTGGTTAGGAATCGCCTTAGCTAAACTTTGGACGTATGTCCCATTTTAGCTGAGGTTGGGAATTGTCCTGTGCCTTTTTCCCTTAAAATAGCTGCCGTTTTTCCTTTTCCCCAGACCCAAAAAGTTCCTGCCTTATTGCGGCTTAGGATGGAAAGGTTCACGCTTCGTTTTACATGTAGCAATTCGGAACCTTTTAGTGCCATGAGCCACGCTGCTGTGTGGCACAGAGGGTCTGGGTGAACAGCGTGTCCGGATGCTGTATCGTAGCTGTTGATCTGGGCTTCTGTCGTTCCTTACCCGCTTCCATCTCGTATCTGTAGAGCCCCGTGCCCCCAAGTTAACCTGTTGGAGCAGCTTGAGAGTCTGCGTCCGCCGTGCCGTCCGCGCTGTTCCATTTGGGGCAATCACGCTCCTGGGAGCACCTGCTCATCACACATAGCCTGTCCCCGCTGAGCGCTGATCTCTCACCTTGCCTGGTCGATGCCCAGCGCAGGGCTTGAGACACTTGCTTTCTTCCTGTCTGTCTAGTGTGCACATGAAAATAGAGGAGAAAATTTCCTTGACTTGTGGCCGTGACGGAGGGTTGCAGAACATGGAGCTGCATGGCATGATCATGCTGCACATTTCCGATGAAAAGTTTGCGCGGATTCGCCTGCATGTAGAGAACGAAGACAAGAGGGGAGTGCAGCTGCAGGTAAAGCCTGTTTGGCGTCCCGGACTGTTGAACGTACTTCGCTGCTCTCCAGGGCAAACTGTTGGAAATGCTTGAGCCTGTCACTGTCCCATGTTCTTGTCCGAGCCTTCGCAGCAAGCGCGTTGAAACTGGGAGTAGTCACCACAGACATTCGCACAGCAGAAATGCGTGCTCAAAAGATTGAAGTTCACTTGAGAAATCCAGTCTCGTGCACTTACCTTCCTGCCCTGGGAGCCTTATCTGTCCAGTACCGCACGTTGGCGCGCTGGCTGATCACACTTGGACTTTGCAGCAGCCTGGTGTGTGCTTGCTGCTTGTTTGTGTGGTGTGAGCTTTAGCTGTTGAGCGGGAGCGTTAGAATTAAGTTACTCTGCCAACAAGAAATTAATTTATTATCTAGAAAGCAGTTTCCTCTTGGGGTTGCTCGTGCCCTGTCACTGCTGCCTCTGAGGCTGGAGCTGGAGCCCTTGTTTGCAGTCAGCAGTAGCAGCTCAGAAGATGCTTGGAGACACGTCCTCCCGTGTCTCCCTCTAGTTGTGCAGCCTTACTGAGCCCTGGAGATGGTGTTGCTTCGATACGCTCTTTTGCTGCCGTCTTCTCCTCCTTGCCAAGCGCGTGTCTGTCCCTCGCTGCCTGTGGGTCTGCGGGTGCAGCAGGAGGTTCCTTATCAGCGCATCTCTTGAGCGAGTTCCTCGCAACGCTCCCGCACCTGCTGCTTCAGGTGGGAGACGAGATCAAACACAGTGCTGACTCCGGTCTGTCTAGTGTAACTGGAACGTTAACTTGCGAAAATCCTCTGCTGCTAAAAGCTGCTTGCGCTTGCTGTTGTGAGGAGAGAATACTGAAATTGAGTTTGGCCACTGGCATACCTATCTGTTAAGGCTCCTGAGGGAAGCAGCATTTCTGTGGTTTCAGGGTGTTCTTCCCAGCAGCGTTCCGTTGTTTTTTCTTCAAGAGAAATGTCCATTGTGGGTCTTCAGGGTGGACTTTGAGATTTTAAGAGTTGTTGAAGTTGTTCTCCAGGCTGTCAGCCCAGGACACGCCTTAGTCGAGTCTCTGGCCCAGCAGCAAGTAGAAATGGTAGCGTGTGGATTTGTCTTGGTACATCGGCATGTTCCAGAGGGAATCCTGGGTTGATAAACAGAAGTGCTCTAGTGGGGCTTCTGAGCGAGGTGCAAAGCCAACGTGGTTTTTGTCCGGGAAAACACCCAGGGGGGGTGTAGGGCTGTGTCGTTAGAACCTGCGTTACCTACGTATGGTTCTCTCCGTAGGCTTAGAGTTAGAGCCTGGGCCTGTGTTCACCTTTCAGACTCACCCAAACGTGGACAAGAAGCTGTTCACTGCGGAATCGCAGATCGGTTTGAAGAACCCAGAGAAGTCATTCCCTATTAACAGCGACGTGGGTGTGCTGAAGTGGAGGTTGCAGACCACGGAGGAGTCTTTCATTCCACTGACAAGTGAGTGCGAGTGTGCATCTGGGGGCTCGGGTGGAAGCGGCTGATGTTCACCCATGACTGGTAGCCCGCCTCGTGGCAGCTAGGCCAGCTCCAGAGCGTGGCGCATTGTGAGGTGTTGGAGATACCCTGTGTCTTCTGTTTGTTGTCCACGGTGTACGTTTTCTGTAATGCTCTCGAAGAAAATGAAAAGCTTTTTTTTTTTTCTTAAATTCGGCGTTTCTTGGGGCTGACTTTGCTGAGCTTTTCAAAGTCCATCACTTTTGGAGAGCCTGTTCCACGTAGAAAGCCTGCATCGCTCAGCTTACCGTTTCTGTCCCACAGTTAACTGCTGGCCCTCAGAAAGCGGGAACAGTTGTGATGTTAACATTGAATACGAGTTGCAAGAGGAGAGCCTAGAGCTGAATGATGTGGTCATCACCATCCCCTTGCCGTAAGTAGCGCTCCTGGTCCGGGCAGCACCAACACATGCCGTCCTGGCTCCCCTTGGTTCCTCTCCCTCTCTGGTTTGTGGTCTTGCCGCGCTGTTGGGCTTGGCAAGCGTTTTCTTAGCTCGATGCAGATAAGCCATTGTAGCTTCTCGTGGCTTGCTCTAGGTCTGGTGTCGGCGCCCCGGTGATCGGGGAGATCGATGGTGAGTATCGCCACGACAGTCGGAGAAATCTCCTCGAGTGGTGCCTGCCAGTGATCGATGCCAAAACCAAGAGCGGCAGCCTGGAGTTCAGCATAGCAGGGCAGCCCAGTGACTTCTTCCCAGTGCAAGTCTCCTTCGTCTCCAAAAAGAACTATTGCAACATACAGGTACGCTCCCTGCCGGTCCTCTGTCGGCGTGCTCTCACTCCAGCCTCTCTCAAGCCACCCCAGTCGTGAGCTGGCTGAAGTGGGCCGTGCTGTGGCAGGCGGGCCCTGACGTCCCCCTTCGCGAGGGCATAGGCGCTGGCTGTAAGTCGCCTCTGGCTGGATTCTGGAGTGCCGGCGCGCAGCACTGGCCACTTTGGCTTCCCTGAGCTCGCCTGCAGTTTCGGTTGTGCTTCCGTGCCTCTGAGTAATCATTAATTCCCCTCAGACTTGTGTGAGAAAATCCGTTGCCCTTCCGAGCCAAAGCACTTCTCGGCATATGACCGTCTGTCTGTTCCCGCTGAACTGTAGCTGGCGGCTGCGGCTTAACTCCTCGCAGGCTGCTTTCGGCAGAGGCGCAGTTACTGCAGGAAATCATTCCCCTGTTTTCAGGTTTCCTGGGAACAGAGATCCTCTGTTCAGGGCTGACTTGCGGCTCGAAAGCGCGGAGTGGGTCCTGTCCTCGCAACGGCCCCGGCGTCAGAGCACGGCATAGCTGGGATGCGGGAGCGGTGTGCGGCGCTGAGCTAACTCTGCCTGTTGTCTCTGCAGGTTACCAAAGTGACCCAGGTAGACGGGAACAGCCCTGTGAGGTTTTCTACTGAAACCACCTTCCTGGTGGACAAGTACGAGATCCTGTAACGCCAGCCGTGGGGAATCACAGAGGAAGAAATTTTTAAATTCAAAAAAAAAAAAAAAGAGGCCCAAGTTTATTCTGAATGTTGGGAACGCCGCAGCCCCCATCTCTGCTAAGACACGTGGCTCTGTCTGCCATCTGCAGCGTTCCTGGGCCACAGACATTTTTGGCAGAGAATTGACGTGCTCATGGGGGGAAAGGCTACAAATTTCTTTGGCAGATTTTTACCAGCCGGCGGAAGAGCAAGATCTCGGCAGAGAACCTGGCTTTGACAACATCCCCTTCTCCCCCGAAGACGAGCGGAGCTCAGGCCCAGAGCTGACCAGCCATCGCTCTCTTCCTTCCTGAAGCATCGGGCGCTGCTCCGTTGTTGGTGCTGCCATTTTAATGTCTCCTCGGCCTTCAGCTCTCGTTTCTCTTGGTGACAGCAGGCGTTAAGATCCCGTGCGGGGGGGCGCCTTGCCTCTCTGGACCCTTCTGCCTGGCAGAAGCGGAGCGAGTTGGCCTCGGTCTCGCAGGTGGGGGGTTGTGGCAGGGGTGGGGAAGGGGGATGGGGGCATCGTTCCTTTCGCCCTGCACGGTCACTGCTGTGTCTCCAGCTCTGCCACACAGCGGTGGCCTGGGGCCACCTCGCTGGCTCAGAGGGGGCTCTGAGGTAGCGCAGGCTGTGGCTGCGGATGCTCTTGCTCCTGGTGCAGGGGGGAGTGTGTCCGGGAGGGACTGCCCTGTGCGCGGGCAGGCTGTGGAGGCAGTTTAGCTAGGTTAGAACCAGCCGCCTGTCCTTCCCGGGGCCCTGTCGGTGTCTGGGGAGGCAGAAGGCTTTGCCAGGCTGGGCCGCTCGGGCTGCGGGTCGGGACTTGTCCCAGACCAGTGTCTCTGCCAGCGCTTGCGGGTGGAGGAGGAGGGAACGCTGGTGTCCAGAAAACGTACCGGGCCGATCCCAGTGCGAGCAGCACCCCAGCACGGTGTCCTCCCCCTCTGCCTCGTCTGGCAGCGCTGTGCTCCCCTCAGAACTCATCTCACCTCCTGCCTTGGGGCCAGTCGCTACCGGCCTTGCTGGCCACTTGGCCACGGGTGAGGTCTGCAGGGGAGCACAGCTGACACTGCCGTGGGGCCTGAGCAGAAGGATGGGAAGCAAATGCCCTGAAAACACCTGAGCTGTGCTCCCGAGACAGCCCCTTCATGAGAGCGAGGGTGCCTGGGTTCCCCCCGGGGTCCTCTGCCAAAGAAGTTGGTGGTCTCCCCTCCCTCACAGCACCCGAGAGGAGTCGGACCCCGACCCCTGCCCAGGGCAGGCGGGAGAGCCCTCCCTGATCCCCAGCCACGTAGGTGACGAACCTTGTTAACTCGCTCGTGTTCCGGAGTTGCTCGTCTGTATGATTTTAAAATGGAGTCGAGGTTAGTTCAAGCATCCGAGGAGCTTTTGTTTTTTCTTTAATTCATTGAAGGGTAATATTTAAACCGAGCCGAGATCCCCCCCTTTTGTAACCCTGTACGCTACTGGCCTAGGGCGTAGAGCACATTCCAGTGTACGCGGAGAAAACCCAGTCTCTAATCAAATAAAGAGTATTGTCAAAGGAGCTGGCTGAGGGTCTGGGGTCCTTCGGGAACGAGGACGGCCCCCTCCCTCCGCCCTGGGCCCAGCAGGGCAGGAGAGGGCCGGCGGTGGAGCGGGGACCCACCGGAGCCAGGAGTGGAGGTGAGCAGCGGTGGGGTGGGGGGACCCCTGGGCAGCCCCTGTCCTTACACGGGGACCCCCAGTGGTAGCACCTGGGGGGGGGAGCAGCTTTCGGGCAGGGTGGGGGTGAGGGGAAGCAGTGGGTGAGGGTCCTGGTCTGCCTGCGCAGGGGCCTCCCGAGGAGGGGCAGTGGGTGGGAGAGCAGGACAGCCCCCCCTTGGCCATCCAACCCCTCCTTGCACAACACGTCGGGGGTGCGTGGGTGGGCCGGCAGCCGGAGCAGGAGCAGGATGCAGTGGTCCACCTTGGTGGCCGGGTGGTTGGTGGGGGG